AATAACTGGAATCCAAGCTTATAATTGCCCAATGAGGTTCTGTTCACTGGAAACCTAGAGATATATTCTCTCTTTTCAGCTACCAGGTGGTGACATCATGACATTGTCAGTGCCCTTCGCCACTTGGTCCTGGAGAGGCCTACTTGCCAGCCTCCTCCCCTGTGACTGACTTTTTCATGTATTTGGCTTTAAAGCCCCTAGTCTACCTTCAGACAGACTATTTATGTAGGCTGCTTTATTTATCTTATGTTTTAGTCACCCTGTACCCATTATAGGTGCAGGGTGTGTGTAATGTAATTGTTTATAGTGTGTGTGTGTGTACTGTGTAATGTATTGCCTGCTCTCCTGTACTGCTGAGGTTTGCTACCAACTAGGTGGGTTTGGCTATGGAGCTTGTCTAGTGCCCTCTGTTGGTAGCAACAGCAATATGCACTACCTGAATAGCAAGACTGGTTCATTTGCATATTCGGGTAGATTTGCATATTGCTAATTCTGCAGACACATGAGATATTTTCTGTTAAATATTGTCTCCCCCACCCCTTTAAAAATGTGCCATTGTGTTGTGATAAGTCACTGTGTGTTGCCTGCTATGGTTTGACTGTTTGTGATTTTATTGAGTTTCACAGCAATGTTAATGTTGTGACCCTATGGGCTGGTCCCAAGGGAAATAAAGGTTTAGACAGTTCTTCTTGATCCCTCTAAACGTAGCCTTGTCTCGTTATTGGAGGGAGCTGTTATAATCACACTGGGGATTGCTATGCTCTGCATACTCCCCTGAGCTTGAATCACTTAGCTCTTTTAAGAGGTTGTTCCTGACACGCTCTCCTTGGAGGAGAGGTCTTCACCACACAGTCCTGGATGTTGGAGGTTCATACAGGGTGGAAGGAAGAGGTCTTTCCCACACAGTCCTGGAGGACAGAAGCTGATCCAGGGTGGAAGGAAGACGGCGAGACTCCAGTCAAGCTACAGCGGTTGCGGAGTCTGCGGTGGTTGTGGTGTCTACTCCAGTGCTTGGAGTCCTCAGGAAGCGCTAGGAGCATCCTTCAACGGAGGTACCCAGTCGGGGTGCCAGGTGACCCATTACAAACTGAGATAGAAAAGACCTTTGAGGAATCCTGAGAAGCCATTGAGCACATCTGACAAGTCTGATGGTGGCAGCCAGGATTCCTAGTAGTTGCTTTACCAGGCTTGCTGTTACCAAGTGAAAATGAAGAAAATGGAAGACAAAACTTACACAATTTGGGGAACTGAGATAGGGAAAATGCAGAGTATAGACTTTCCCACACAAAAATCTGAGCTGGTGTGAGACTGCTTTTCTTGATATTAATCAAGCAGCCAAACTTAAGGGGTTCTGAAAGAACTATATCCCTCTGTGTACCTGCCTTCTGTGTGTCCTATGCTACCAGAAGTAGATCATCTAGATAATAGAACCAGGTGGTGTACTGGACTCTCAATATCACTATAAGCACGTATAAGGTTCTTCAGGCTGCAGTGAGACTAAATGGTAGTGTACTAAATTGGAAGTTCTCTTCTGAGATAATGCTGATGATCTAGGGCTATTGGAATGTGATAGTAAGTATCCTTGAGATATATAGAGATAAGGAAATTGTCCTTCCAAATTGCTGGGGATATGGATCTGATTCACTTCATCCCAAAGGCTCTGACATTCAGCCTTTTGTTGGCCCTTCTTAAGTCCAGTATATGCTTCCATGTGCCTTTTTTTAGCACCAGAAGAGAGGCGAATATTGTCCCTGGAACTTCTCTTGTTATGGGACCTAAGAAATCACCTCTTTGTCCAGAAGGTTTCTTACATCTTCCTTCAGTGCTATACCTTTTGACTCATCTGTCTGAATTATCTTGTTGTTATAGAGACTCCCGTGTCTGAAGAAAACTCCAATCTATATCCATCTGGACTATGGATACCACCCAAGTCTCCAGAATGTGACGAGCCCAGGTATGTCTGATCAGAAAAAATAAGGCTTATAGTACTGGAGGACAGACACAAGTTCATTGCTGAAGAGCAAAATGACTGCTTCATAGATCTATTAGAACCTTGAAAGGCAAATTTACCAATTGCCATGAGTTACCTCTGGGGTATTCCCTGCAGGTCAGTAACTCCATGTATCTCGGAAATGCTGGTCACTGGAAGTTCTCCTGTCTGACCATGAGGAGCCGGAATTCTTGGATCTTCAGTCCTGAGGTACAAATAACTTGCAGCTCTCAGCAGCCTTTTTAATGTATTAATCCAAAGCTTTCCCAAACAGCAGCTCCCCTTCAAATAGAATGGTGTATAGGGCAGACTTGGAGAATGAGTAATCATCCCAGAAACAGAACCATAATGCTTTCGATCATTTAAAAAAATACATGTCCATAAGTAAATCGGCTGTAAGGGGTGGAGCTAACCCATTTGTATAGGCTGCCATGATTAGCCATATATCTCCCTGACAGCCACTAGAAGCCGCTTCCACGATTCTCCGTGTGAAAATCGCATTGATCTCATGTTGGACGTCCATAGAAAAGCATTGAGTAATGCGCTCGAGCCTCTGGCCGCGCATGCGTATTCGGATCCAATCGGAAGCTGACTTCAGGAGGGGGAGGAGAGGTCACCAGCACCGAGGGAGCCCAGCACTGGTTTAAGGTAAGTGGCTGAAGGGATTTTAAACCCGCCAGCCCAGCGGGAGGGGAGCTCCGAGGGAGGGGGTGACCTAATAACCCTGTTGTACCAGGAAAACAATTTTGTTTTCCTGGCACTATAGTGTTCCTTTAAGCTACTAGCCTGTTGATAATCTGTTGACACATACCTTGTGTCTCACATTCAGGCAAGCTCTTTAAGCATGATTGTTTCTTAATATAAAATAGTGCAACATTTATATACCACTTTAAATGTGACTAATGCTGTCTCTCCCTATGTTATGTCATTTAATCAACTACAAAATAAAGAATTATAAAAAGAAACTACAATAGGTCAAAGAATAAGGGCCAAAGCAAGGCTTAAATAGGCTTACCTGTGTTCTAATTGGACCATGTCATCATTGCAACTCAAAACAGATTAGGGTTGAAATCATGACGTGGTCACTTTAAGGGCAGGTGTGACATCATGCCTATAATCTATTTAAGGATGCACCCTCAAAGCGGGCAGCGTCTGCAGTTCAGACTGTGGCCGAGCTTCGGAGAACGCATGGGAGTCATTCGTAGGCACCTCTAAGTTGATTTTTAGCTGGGGCCATGCCGCGCAATACGAGCAGGAGGAGGACTGAGCAGACTGATTAAGGTAAAATGCTACATTCCCCCCTCCCCCCAGGAGGGTATGCCCACTGGGCGTGAAGGACCAGGCTTGCCCAGGTGATGGTGATGAAAGGAACAGACCCAGGTACGTTACTCGGGACTGTACCACTTCCAATGGACCAGATACTGGAGACTACCCCTAAGGAACCTAGAGTCAAGGATAGCAGCAACCTCATACTCCTCAACTGATACAGGAGGTGGAGGAGTGCGAGGTTCAGTAAACCGATTACAGACCAGAGGTTTCAACAGGGAGGTATGGAAGACATTAGGCATATGCATGGGAGGATGCAAGTTCAGAGCATACGAAACAAGGCCAATGAAACAAGAAGCAAACATCATGGAGGGCAAACTGAGATGGATATTTTTTGGTAGAAAGCCAAACCCTATCCCCCACCACAAAGGAGCAGCACGACGATGCCTATCCACCTGTACCTTCTATCTCCGAGCAGCTTTAGCCAACAGTTGTTGAACCTGCTCCCAAGTACTACATAAACCAGCCATGTGCTCATCCAAAACTGGCATTTCCTGTGAGGAGAATGCAATCAAGAAAACAACAGGACTATAAAAAAATGGTTGAAACCAGAGGATTCGGGAACGGTATTATTGCGAGCAACCTCAGCCCAATTAAGCAGGTCAACCCAATCATCTAGGTGATGTGAAATTAAACAACGTAAATACTGCTCAAGAGACTGGTTGGCAAATTCGGCAGCCACATTAGTCTGAGGATGGTAAGCGTAAGAAAAGGACAACTCAAGTAATACAGTATGTCCATTGCAAGGGGGGCCTCTACCAGGGCCGGACTGGGGATACAAAGCAGCCCTGGAAAAAAAAATTGTGCCAGCACCATAAGTCACTGCGCCATATATTGTCGCGTGTAATATGTAAGGCTATGTCTTGCCATGACAGATGATAGATATATATATATATATATATATATATATATTGCTTTTTCTAATATAAAATGTTGGTCCTTTCAGGGTAAAATGTTTAATTATACAGTAAGCATACTCACATGCAGACACAGGCAATTTCACTGACATCTCAATGACACACACGAGCTCATTGATACACAGCCTCATAGATAGTGATGTACCGAACAGTTCGCCAGCGAACGGTTCCTGGCGAACATAGCATGTTCGCGTTCGCCACAGCGGGCGAACATATGCGCGGTTCGACCCGCCCCCTATTCGTCATCATTGAGTAAACTTTGACCCTGTACCCCACAGTCAGCAGACACATTCCAGCCAATTAGCAGCACACCCTCCCTAGCAGACCCTCCCACCTCCTGGAAGGCATCCATTTTAGATTCATTCTCAAGCTGCATGCTTTAGTAAGAGGAGGGAAAGTGTAGCTGCTGTTCATTAGATAGGGAAAAGCATAGCTAGCTTAGGGTTAGGGTATGCTTTTTTTTATTTATTTTTTCTATGTAATGTAATTGCACTTAGTTGTCTGCCACTGCTGCCAGCTTCTGTGTCAGGCTCACAGTGCATATTGTGCCCATTTCCCCAGTCAGTGCCACCACTTACAACTGGTGTCACAATACCTTGGATTTAAAACAAAAAACTTTTTTCACTGTTATAGATTGAATAGCAGTCAGTTGTCTGCCACTGCTGCCAGCTTCTGTGTCAGGCTCACAGTGCATACTGTGCCCATTTCCCAGTCAGTGCCACCAATTACATCTGGTGTCACAATAGCTTGGATTTAAAAACAAAAAACTTTTTTCACTGTTATAGATTGAATAGCAGTCAGTGTCCTTAAAGGGGGTGTGTTACGCTAACAGTGGATACGGTGACCAGTGCCACCACTTAGATCTGGTGACACAAAGCTGGGATTTAAAAACAAAACACTTTTTTCTCTGTTATAGATTGAATAGCAGTCAGTGTCCTTAAAGCGGGTGTGTTACGCTAACAGTGGATACGCTGACCAGTGCCACCAATTAGATCTGGTGTCACAATAGCTTGGATTTAAAAACAAAACACTCTTTTCACTGTTATAGATTGAATAGCAGTCAGTGTCCTTAAAGCGGGTGTGTTACCCTAACAGTGGATACGCTGAAAAGTGCCACTAATTAGATCTGGTGTCACAATAGTTTGGATTTAAAAAAAAAATAATCTTTTTTCACTGTTATAGATTGAATAGCAGTCAGTGTCCTTAAAGCCGGTGTGTGTTACGCTAACAGTGGATACGCTGACCAGTGCCAGTTCAATTAGATCTGGTGACACCAAGCTTGGATTTAAAAAAACAAAACACTTTTTCAATTTCTGTTATAGATTGAATAGCAGTCAGTGTCCTTAAAGCTGG